CTCCTACTCCCACTACGGACATTAATGTATTTTCCGCCCCAGAAAATGCACAGAAAATTTGAAATTTTCTGAAGATCTTCTGAAGATTTTCCGAGGATTTTTCTGTCACGGAAAATTTGGAATTTTCCATCAATCTTCTGAGAATCTTCTGGAAATTTTCTGTGTCAGAAGATCAGAAAATTTCCAGAAAATGTAGCCCTCGGATCTGTGATCCGAGCAATGACATTTTCTCTGGCATACAAGTTAGCTATGAAGGCAATCAGTCGGCATACTTAATCAAATCCTCCATTTGCTGCAATTACATTACATTGACCCACAATGAGTATAATACATGGCATACAACGCTTTGCACATATATGCTCTTTCATACTAGCACCCCATCCACAGCCTTTGGACTCTCCACCACCTATGTGCCAGCCATCTCTTCCACCGCGACGACCATGAACCTACTCGATGACGACTTGGGAGAGTGCGCGTCTTCAACCCCCTGTCGCTGTTGGATATCAAGCTGAGCATCAAGTTCAGAATACTCACAGTTTGACGACTACAACTTTCCTCGTTGTGCTAGCAGCAGGCATCGTCCCAGCTCTGTCTCAAACAATTGTATGGCGCTACTGTACTAACACACGGCGTGGCTGCTGGCAGCAACAAGGCTGCACGTTGCTGGCCAGGCCAGGTGGGTCTCTTTGTGCAGCACATTGGTTTGAGCTGGGCGGGGCGGGGAAAGCATGGGTTATGGCGGGCGATGGTAGTTTCGGACTTCGTTCCTAACTCAATAGTTGACTTACTTATGTCCCAGTTTTGCACTCGTGCGGGCCATCCCTCTTATCTAGCAATGGTGAGCGGCCTCGAGTTGTATTTCGCCGTTGTCGTCGGCTTACCTCGTGCTGCAGCCGAAGGGATAACCACTCCTCAACCCGTTTGTCTCCCCATTTCTAACTAAGTTCTTGCTGACGCTGTTGCACAGTTTGAACCTGTTGTTTTAGTCAAACTCGTGCCGTTTTGGAAGTTCTCGCCAATGCTTTCGAATACGGGTGTCATTCCGAGTCTGCGAGCGGGGAGGTAAGTTTCTTGTCATTCATCTTCCCTCGCGTCCGGCCGAGTTTGCTGGCAGACTTCGCATTGGGCTTTCAAACCGTGGATGTGGTTCTGCGAGCGGGCTTCTTGAGCCGCTATTCATGGATGCTGATGTCTTTATGCTGCTTCGTCGGGATACCGAACTCCGATTTACGGAGGGGAGGGAGGGCGGTTGTCGACTTTGAGGAGGACGTTTTGGCCGCCAAGGTGCGCGCGCGTTCCTGCTGTTTATCCTACCCCTCGATGCTGATCTTGTTTATTCATCGAATTCTCGCAGAGTCGAGAGGGCGCGCGAGCAATTGATGGGAGGGTGGTTTCTCCGAGATGGAGATGTTTGCCCTGGGTCGATTCAGCGAGCTTCTGCCAGCAGAATGGCGTCGTTTTGGCGAGAGAGAGGGCGGCTGCAGTCGTTGCCAAAGTTATTCCGGCCCCAAAAGTGCGAGTTCTTGCTCTGCAGTCGATATTTGTCCTTGCTGACCTTGCTTGCAGCTTGCTTGCGACTTGTCACCCTGTAAAGCTCGCAGTCGCGCGAGACAGCGGCGGCGATTGGGCCGGAGGGCAACCGGGCGGATAGAGCCGCTTGCGTGAGGTCGATTTGGCCACTTGCTGCCGGGGCAAGTGGCTTCGTTTTGCGAGAAATGGCGGCGGGACTTGGTTCTGGTTGCCGTTCGACATGCTGTTGCCGTTATTGACCGGGAGGGCGAGTTGGGAGGTTGCGCGGGCCAGCGGGACCTTTCTTCCGTCCAGCACAAATCCCGCGGCATCGAAAGCATCTTTGCACGCTGGTAGGTTCAGAAATAGTGAGCTTCTCGTTCCCAACTCAATGCTTGACTTACTTATGTCGCAGTTGTTCACTCGCGCTGTCCATCCTGAGATGTCGCGCTAACATTCGCCAGGGCCAATCTGTGGAATCTACACAATAGTCAGCAAATGCATTGTTTCCCGCAATTCGACTAACCGGCCAGCGTTGCTGTTTGCGAAGCGACTGGTCTTGCCGCTTCGGGCTGGTTTTCCCCCCAGCCTGGGCCAGTTCCGCGTCGATCAAGCGGACCTTCGCCAAATGGCGCAGAAGCTACGGCCTAAAGTAAGTTTGTGCGGGTAAACTGACCGGAATTTCAGACTTACCTGCTCGTTTCAGGCTGCGACGGCCGAGCCAAAGTGGCCTGTTTGAACGTTCGGCTTGTCCCGTAGCATGACTCAGTACTTGTCGCGCCAGAGCTTGCTGTCCCGCGCGGGCGAAAATGACGGCTACCCAACGCGCGAGTCAGAGTTCGGCGCTGCCGGGGTCCCGGGCCGCAGAGTCTGGGGTTGCTGCTAGTTGTTAAGCTCCAACGAGTTGTAGACGGAGAACGGCTTGTTTGCGGGCCGTGGGCGGCAATGGCTGCTGGTGGGATGTGGCGGAAGTGGAAGGGAAAGGCCGGTTAACGGGCACGTGTGATCGGCGGGCCCAGTCCGGCCGGTTCCCCCATTTTCTTCAAAGTTCAAACGCGTTTCCTTGCCCTGGCCGCGAACACTGGGCCTAACGAGCCCAGAAACTTTGCGCGGTCAGAACCTGTTTGCGGGTCAAGCTCGGTGTCTGGTTGGCCAACCCGGTGGTGAGTGCTGGCTTGCGGGTATGGAGTTTACTGACCAATCTTGCAGCGGCGATGGTCGTGCTCGTCCCTGACCGTTAACCAGCTTTGGAGGGCGGCTGCAGTCGTCGCCAAAGATGTTCCCGCCCCAAAGGTGCGTGTTTTTGCTATCCAGCCGCTATTTGTCCATGTTGACCTCGCTTGCAGCTTGTTTGCGACTTGTCGCCCCGTAAAGCTCGTAGCGCCGGCGATTGGGCCGGAGAGCGGCCGGGCGGATGGAGCCGCTCGCGTTGGGTCGATTCGGCCACTTCAAGCGGCTTCGTTTGGCGGGCAATGGCGGTGGGACTTGCCGTTTGACGCGCTGTTGCCGTTATTGAAGAGGAGGGCGAGTTGGGACTTGGCGCGGGCGAGCGGCCCGGGGACCATTAAACGGCTGCATTTGACGGTGGACTTGCCGGTAGGAGGCGCCAGACTTGCGAGATAGACCGAGAGGAGTGCCGAGTTAGCCGGAGTAGTGCCAAGTTAGATAGATGCTGAGTGCGGCTCTTGTGCCCGCCGTTCGCGGCAGCGCGGCGACTCCGCCTTGAGTTTGCGAGCGCGAGAGATGGCCGTTTCGAGCCTGGGCTTGATACGGCGGGCGGGAGATGGCTGTTGAGTAAAAGGCCGCTGTCAACGGGCACGTGCTCGCTTGAGGCTGTACCTTCTTCTCCTCCAATTGCCAACACCGCTCGCTTGACGCGTTTTCCCGAGCTGGCCCGGACCCAGTGAGGAAGAAGAACTCGGGCCAAACTTGCTGTGTGACTTGCTGACCGCCGCAACCTCCTTTCCGGCCGTCGGCGCGTCTGCTGCCTTACGTTGACGTGTTTTGCTGAGCTGGCCTGGACCCAATGCGCAAAGAAAACTCGGGCCGAACTTGGTAGCGGTACTGCCACGACCTGCTTTCTGGCACGCTGTGTGACTTGCCGACTGCCGCTCGAGCTCGATGCGGTAGGCAGGAGATGGCGGGTTTGGGGATTTGTAGTCGTCGCGGAGGTAGAATTTATTTGCCCAAGTACGTGTTCCTGCGCTTGGGAATTGTGTCTTGCTGACCCATGTCCAGGTTTTGCGAGTGTCGTCGTTTCGACCCAGGTTTCGGTCGCTGGGGACGGCGCGCTTGTGTTCGCTTTCATTGGTAGTCCCGTTTGCATGGTTGATATGATTCCAGACGTTGGTCCCCCCACCACTGCCACTTGCGTTGGCGGCGGACAAGCCCGCTTTCGCTCGGGCAGTCATTTTGGAGCTAGAGCGGAGTCGCGCAAAAGGGTGTTCTATTGGTCAAGGTAAGCATTCTTCGCGGCTGGAGACGATTTTGCAAGATTTACCTTGTTATTCAGTGATTTTTCGCGTGAAGGGCAGGACGAAACGCAGGCACCGTAGAGCGGCATGGCGACTTGGGACAGACAGTAGCAAGACGGCTTGCTTAACGGGCGTCCACAGCGCCAGCCTGAAGATCACATACTAAGAAAAAAATGCTGTCATTGCGCGTCCTCGACACAGTGCGGGAGGATTGAAGGCTTGGCCTGCGGAGAATTGAGCCTGCCAGCGGTACACCCGCCAGTGTCAACTACGGGTTATTCTTCCGACTGAGCAAACACCCCTGCACCTGCGCGATCATCGGCTCGGCGGAACCGCCGCAGCGAACTGGGTGCCCAACAAAAGCGTTAATTGTCCACTGACTCCTCGCTGGACACGGGGTCTGCGGCAGTGCGAGGTGTGGGGCGGCAGGCGGGGCAAGGAGTTGTACGAGCTGGGTGTGGGTTGGGGACAGGCTCGGGCTGGGGTTGACTACATAGGAGCCAATAGACGCGGTGTTGGATTGTGCGAACCAATATGTCACAGTGTTACACTGTTTTGAAACACTGATTACTTAATCAGTAGTAGCGGCGAGGCGCCAGTCCCCCACTCTTTCTCGACAGTGTCCCATTGTAGTCCGTTCGGTAACAACCGCTGCCAGCAGCTGCAAGATAAAAACGTAGGTTGCGAGATAAGTGATGGGCTTGGCAAACCAGCTCAGCTCGGCGCTAAGGGCAGGAGATACCAATAATACAGTGTCGTTGGACGGTATGTGGGAGCAAAAACCAGTACAAGCATGGTCAATATCTTTCTTGAGATTTCAGCTCCCTTCCGCCAGCACTCAGCTACTGCCCTCCTTTCTGCTTATACTTTTACCCACCCCGAGAAATCATCCTCCTCGTATCGTGCTCGCAAAAATCCGAAGACAAGGCTTCCTTGTTATCGCCATGAACACTGAAGCAGTGTGTCCTTTGCTCTTAATCGCTCTGTTGTTGTGATGCAGCAAACTCCCCAGATTTCATGCTTTTCTCTCGTCTCTGGGCGTTTTCATTCGCCGCAGCCGTAGTGTACGGCCGAAAATCGGTCGTTCTTGATCGTCGAAACTCTATTCCGATCGATTTCGTCCACTCGGATGTCACTCCGGCAGAGCAAAGGCTCAATCTTCGTATCAACCTTGCCCAGCGCGACTTACCTGGCCTCGAAACCGTTCTAAATGCAGCCAGCTTCCCCGATAGCTCACTCTACGGACAATGGCTGAGCAAGGAACAGGTGCGACTTCTCGTACGGTATTAGAATGTTACTGATGCTATCTACAGGTGGGGTCATTTGTGCGTCCTACTGAAGAGACGACATCTGCTGTTGCACAATGGCTCGCAGCGCACGGGATTGCTTCAACACCATTAACACATGCTGGAGACTGGGTTTCGTTCACCGTTCCTGTCAGCAAGGCAAATGAGATGCTCAACGCGGACTTCAATATCTTCACCCATGTCCCAAGCGGCAAGCAATCGATCCGCACTCTCGCGTATGTGGTCCCCGCTGAATTGGCCCCACATATCAATCTGATTGCGCCGACAACATCGTTCTCGCGACCCATGCGCGCGGGGCCCATGTTCACCGCCAGCAACGGGGTGGTCCCTACGCCGGAAGCCCCCCCCCGGCCAGTTGCAACACTATGATCACTCCAGCATGTCTCCAAGCTTTATACAACATTTAAACAATGCCAGCCGTCAACCAGAACAACTCCATCGGCGTTGCGGGCTTTAGCAACCAATTTGTTTGTCTTCCTTGCATTGCAGGCTCTGTGTTGACCTCAATTAGGCGAATCAGGTTTCCGCTTCTGTCTACTTGCACTGTTGTGGTGGTTTAATACTTCAGTCAGGCTGATCTCACACAATTCCTTCGCGCTCAACGTCCTGACATGTCACCGACAACCTCATTCGCGGTAACCTCTGTTGATGAAGGCACCAACTCGCAGGTCATTTTACTCACTTTCTATCTACAAGTCCAATACGATTGATAATTGCAGACCCGGAACCAAGCAGGTATTGAGGCTGACTTGCGAGCTAGTATTTTTTTCCTGATTGCAGCACCACTTACCGTGCTCAGGGACATCCATACACTGTTGGTTTGGCAACTGGTGTCCCTGTCAACTTTGTGTCTGTGGGCACACGGACTCAAGATGGGCCAGATGAGGCAAGTAGTATTGTGCACCCTTCTGTTCTGAATTTGATCTTGAATATCTTAGGGTTTCTTGGATATTGTCAATGCCCTCCTAGCAGAGGCAGCACCTCCGCAAGTTCTGACAATCAGCTATGGCCTGAGCAGCGCGACATTCCTTCCGACCTTCCCAACTTGTGCATTGTGAGTTATATGCTCTCTTTTTGTCTATATTTTATGTCCGTTAAGTATTACTCTTGTTGGGGCGACCGAAAATGTCCCGGAACATGGGTCCGAACTGTCTGCTGGGGGTTTCTCGAACTACTTTGCTCAAGAATTATGGCGTGAGTAATCTTCAAACTCGTCATGCCCATCTCACGCGTCCAACACCCAGAATCGACTGCTGTCAATGCCTACCTTGCAAAGCTCGGAACCATGTTTGCCGGGAAGTTCAATGCAAGCGGGCATGCGTTCCCAGATGTCTCCGCCCAAGGCCAGCGGGTGCAAATCGTAACACGGTCGCACCGGCATCGTCGCCGGGACATCCTGCTCCTCTCCAATTTTCGCCTCCGTTATTGGCCTCCTGAATGATGAGCTAATCAGCGCGGGCACGCCCGTCCTGGGCTGGCTCAACCCGTGGATCTATGCTAATCCACAGATGTTCAATGATATCATGACAGGCAATAACCCCGGTTGCGGAACGAGGTATGTGCCGTTTCACTGCTACTGACAAGTTCTAAAAGTCCAACAGTGGCTTCCCAGTGACAGGAATGGGCACGCCAAACTATGCGGCTATGAGAATTGCAGCAGGGTTATTGTAGATTCACCAACTTTGTTGTACTTGTCATGATCATTCTTAGTGTAAGGGTGCAATCCTTCTGGCAAATGGCAGTTTTCAGGGCTAAATAGCAGATTTTTCCCTTTATTTTGAACAAAGATTTCTTGGTCTTTCTTCAATGCTGTTGGATCTCCCCTTTCACATACATTGCCTCAATGTAGCACACAAGATCAACACATAATTTACAACATTTGAGCTATCTTTTTAGATATATATAGGCAGGGTGGGATTCAACTTCACCCACTCATCCGAGAAGTCTTTCTGGTCAATCAAAAAGTCCTTTGCCATTGTGAACACTTCAATTCTCAAGATCGACACAACCACGCACCAGAGGAGCATCAACCAGCGAACCGCGGACATTTGACAACAGCTTCTTGACGCGGTCCAATGGAATATTGGGCACGACATGGCCTGCCTTGACCTTCGGGACGTAGACCTATACCCAAACCATCAGCGTCAAACCAAAAAGAAACTAAAACACACATCGTAGCCATTCCAGTCTCTAACCAAATTACTCGGCACCGGCTGGAACACCTCGGTGAAAATCTCCTGGTTCTTGCCGTCATGTTCCAAAGCTCCATCGTCGAATCCGACAACGGGTCTGCAACCATCCAATCCTCCCTGTCCTCCATCTCGTTCGGGTTCGGATGTGGCGCCGGTCACATGAAATCAGTCGGGCGCCTGTCATGTTTTCCCGCATACTGGGGTGCAATAAGGCCAAGGTGTTCTGGATCAGACGGGTTAAAAGCGGAATTACAAAGGAAGAAAGAATATAGACCTCGATACAACTTCCTCCTGAGCGATGTCGCAAATCTAGCCACCTGGTATTGCTGTCCATTCATCCTCGAAGCAACCATGTCGGTATCTTCCCCAACTAGAGCAATTTCTGAGTCTCCGTCGCCTTTCTGACTGCGGTCATTCAAATTGGCAGAACCCATTTATAATTTTGGTGAGCAATCACTCCACGAGAAGGAACACTCACAATGACGACGGTCGTCCACAATCATGAGCTTGCTGTGGATATAGAGCAACTCAGTCACATAGGCATCCGGCTCTTCCTGCTCGGTTCCCAGCCACTTTTTGTCCAAGAGACTGGTGCGGTCGTGTAGCATGTGTTGAGCAACATCATCGGCTACATCGTTGTCTCCCCGAACGGCCTTCGCGGCTTCCTCGAAGCGCTGGATGATACTATACGCCTCCTCTTCTGTCTCGGGGATCGGCACCGTCTCCGTCTTTGCCGCATCATTGCCAGCAACAACAAGCCCCTCAGTAGTCTGTGTTGAGAGCGCATACGTTAACGTTTTTTAGTCGCCGCCTTCCTTTCCAATCCATCTACGAGAGAGCGCGCTGAGCACCTCGTGGTACTTCAGCCCGCTCTCGCTTTCGATGCGCTGGATGTACTAGTAAGACGTTTGGGGTGCATTGATTCTGTCGTATGAACGCAGGTGGTAAAAGCGGATGTATTTGGCACTGTTGCAAAGGTCAATGTGACGCAAGTCCAAAACTAGAGAACTTACGGGTCGTAACCTGCTTTCCGAACCTCTTCGTATATACTGTGTCCGGTTGATAGTTCGGTATTGGGCGGCCATGATAGTCTTGAGCCCGCCTTCGGTCTTGATATTCCCCGTGAAGCCTGGCACTTCGGGAATGACAACGATAATCTGGAACTTGTGGTCGTATTGGGCGACGCGAACTATGCGCTCAACCAAGGCTGCCGCGACTTGGTTCTTCACGACATCCTTATCGTGTGTGACAGAAATACTACGTGAGAGTTAGAATGACAATGAACGGAATCAGGCGTGCCGAGCATACAAGAACTGGTTTTCTGTGTTCATCTTGGTCAACTTCCAAGCTTCGCAACTAAAGAAACACTCACCAATGTAGATGTAATGTTCTGCTTCGCGAATGAGCTGGCAGTCTGTAGCAAGATGTTTGAGGAAGGAGAAAACAAAAGAAAATGGCACGCACAGGCATTCTGGATACTGTGCTCTGTCAAGACTCCGTGGCTCCAGTCAAACTTGCACCCTCATTCCAGGAATCATTCTTCTTGGCATAGTGAGCTAGTTAGACCGGTCAGCGAAACGAGAGAGCAAAAAAATAGTGAAATTGTACCCGCATCCTGGCTCGTCCGGAAGACCCAGCCAGCGTTGCTTATAACGGTGACCAACTGAGTGCCATGCCACCCAAAGGCTATGGAAGGACCCAAGAAGGACCGAAACGAACTCCTTCTCGCGGTATTTGCGCTTCATGTCCCCGGCAAGGTGGCCGCTTGAAGCGGCCCGCTTCTTCTCACATGATGTCCTCTTTGCCTTTTACCGCCCGCAGCTCTCAGATGGAGTCCGCAAGAAAGACAGCTGGGTGTGCGGTGCGCGATAGTCATTCAGTCCAGTCCATACAATATCCGCTTCTATCTACACCTCCCCCGCAAGTGCCGTCCGACGGCACTTGCGCTGCGTTCAAGTTGACGCAAGTTGAGTCAACTTGCGTCAACTTGAACGCAGCGAGACACTCCCCCGCCCGGACCCGCACCTCCCGCGCACTCTCCAGCAACGGCCGTATATTCTCCGGCGTCATCGTCATCGCCAGACCTGGCAGCGCATCATCGCCAGCCACGCCCTCCTCGACAAATGACAGCCGCGTCCGGAACCCAGCACGCTCGCCCCGCGGAAGGAGAAGCGACGTCGTCGACCTGTTGGCAGTTGCGGGAGTACGGGTTACCCGCCGTACGGGTTACCCGCCGAGCAGATGGCGACCGGGACCGCGAACGAGACTGCGCTCGCCCGAAGCGGAAGATGGCGGCCAATGAAGGCCGGCGGGTGATGTCGCCTTGAGAGAGCTCGGCGCCAAAGTCCTCCAACTTGTTCTGCGCCCTCCGCAGTCCCCTGAGCATCGCCCGAATCCTACTCATTCGCAGCCTCCAGCCCTTATTCTCCTCTGGCTCCGACCCACTCTCTGACATCTCAAGCGACGCAAAGGTCACCCTGCTGCCCATCGCCTCCCTCTTCCAAACACCCGCCTGCACCGACTGCTTCGGCTCCCCGTCACGCATCATCTCCCTCAACAGAACCAACTGCCGCTGGCTCAAGTCGCTCCTGCCGACCGATTTCATGTTATCCTCCTCCTCAGTCATCAGCACCACTTCCGCCCAGCTCCACGAGCAGCGCCGCACACTCCCACACAACGCGGTACTGCTCGCAAATGCCTTCTAACGCTCGTCGTTGCTGGACCACTGCAGGAATCGGGGGCCGGGTGCTGGCGGAGGACCTCGATCGAGATCGTCGCCGGGGTAGAAGGGGGAAGCTGGAGAGCCGACTATACCGATGAGATTGGTTGTCAGCTTCTGGTTCGTCTGACACGGTCGTAAGACTGTCCGTGAGGCTATCGATAAGCGTGGTATATGTCATCTGCAAGACTTGTAATTCTATCACAACGAATCAGCCTCTCGAAGCAAGAAACGACGATCATACACACCTTCGACAATATTCGCAAACTCCCGGACCATCCCCAAATCGCGCTTCAGCCCCTCCTGCACTTGAGTGATCCGCACCGGTATCTTCAGCCCAATCGGGAGAGAGCTTCGTCTGGATCCGGTCGGGCTTAGGCCACCGCCAATGAGCGCAGAAGACCGCCCGAGCGACTTGGTTTGCGTCGCCATGACCAGTATCAGTGTCGAAGTAAGGTGCGCAGCTGCAGGGGTATTTGCTGGGCTGGAAGAATGACCCGCAGTCGGCGCTGGCGGGCGTGGGCGGATGGATGGAGCGGCAGCAGCGTGAGAAGCAGGAAATTGAAGAGATAAAGAAGCGCAGGAGGCGGGAGGCCGCGGCGAGACAGGCAGCAGAGGAGAGGAAGAGATGTGGGCGGCAAGGGAAAGTGAATTGGCTGTGGATAAAAAGGATGAGGAGAGTAGACAGACTTCACCGGGGCTGGGCCTGTCCGCCGGGGCCGGGCCAGGGTCGCCGCAGCACTCCTTGAAATCGGTACAGGTTGAATTCAAACGCTGTCCTTCACTATCAAAGTCGACAGGGACAGAAGAGCCAAGATTTGCGTTTATTGAGGTGCTATTGACGATGAGCTGGAGGTGCGGAAGCAGAGAAGAACGTGGGACAGCAACCGGGGGCGTCGGCGCCGGGACCGGGCACGTGCTGCGGATCACTGCCAACGCCTCTTTGCTTCCTCCCGCCCACATCCCCAAGCAGAACCGCCGCACGCACTACTCTAGCTGTTGGACGGGATCTGGGCGCATGCTGTGCTTCTCCGACTTTGCTTAACGCCCAGGCAGCGCGCCTCGGCCAGGGCTGGGCACAGCTGACACACTGTCTTCCCTGGCCCTTGTCCCGCTCTGCCACGTCTCCCCACTGCAACCAAGACCGGCCGCGACATCTACGCTGCCGTGCCCGGCAAGGTAGCCACCAGTCCAGGACATATCAAATCGACCCGACTTGAAACGGCGGCTAGTAACGCCGTTAACGATGAGGACAGAAGGACCAATTTGATAACTTGAACGCGGAACGGGCCAACGGGCCAACGACACCGCCTCCAACTCTGCGAACGGCGGCCAGCCCAGACATGCACACTGAGGGAGATGGACATGCAACACATCATGCTGCTGTGGTGCCCACTGGCACGCTAGCCCGCAAATATCGACTATTATTGAGAACGTCTTTAGCCACGAGAGCAGGAGCTGAAGAATCAGCGGAGGGTTCTGGGGGCACAAATAGCTTACAAGGTGGACCAACTGGCTTTTTTAAACGTG